TGTGCCAAAATCCGGGGTTGAGCCTCGGGAAGCCGAAGCTGTCTTCACATGTCCACCAAATCGCCAACATCCGTCATCGATTGAGAGGGCGGCATGCTACCTCCAACTTCCGAGCCACCACATCAGCTGTGATTCCGTATCCCCTCCAACCTACTCGAGAACAGATTTGAATTTATCCAGCAATTGTGTGGCAACAACACTCATGTTTGCCGTTCGCATTTAGAACTACACCACGCGTGGGGCACTCGCGACCAACGTCATCATGGCTGCTCAGTCCACCATGCGACATACGGCGGCCGAGGATGCGCTGGCCGCCTTCGTCGACAAATGGACCAGTCTTTTCAAGAACCGTCTGCGAAAGACATCTCGAACTACCAGAATAGTTGCGACGATCGCACTTATCACATCCATCATCCTTGGTGGTGAAGGCGCGCGGCGATGGTGGAAACGAAAGCGGCACGAACGAGAACAGGGCCACAAGCTTGTCCGCACCAACTCATGGCTTCATAACAAGGACGGTTCACGCACCATCTACGTTCCATACAAGGATCGGACCTCCAAGGTCGTGATCAACAATACAGACGCTCTGACATTCGAAGCCCACCGACGACTCTTCCTCAACCCGCCGCGCGTTTCGGGTCTCGGTAATGGGACGGTCCCCTCTGCTCAAGCCAAGCCAGGGCTCAACCTAGCGTTCCTCCATCAGTTCCTCAGTTTAATGAGTATCATGATTCCGCGCTGGTCTAGCAAGGAGGCTGGCTTGCTCCTTAGCCATGCAATGTTCCTAATGCTGAGGACATATCTATCCTTGGTCGTCGCTCGTCTTGACGGTGAATTAGTCCGGGATCTAGTGGCTGGAAATGGAAAGGCATTGGCCCTGGGACTTCTCAAAGTAAGTTCATATCTAAATCTAACAAGTTATATTAAACTAACCCTTCTGCTCCTCAGTGGTGTGGCCTGGGGGGCTTCGCTTCCTACACAAACGCCATGATCAAGTTCCTGGAATCAAAGGTTTCCATCGCTTTCCGCACCCGTCTTACGAGATATATCCATGACCTTTATCTAAACGACAATCTGAACTATTACAAGCTCGTCAATCTCGATGGAGGGATCGGACACAGCGCAGACCAGTTTGTGACGCAGGACTTGACCTTATTCTGCGCTGCTGCTGCAAACATCTACTCCTCCCTAGGAAAACCCGCCGTCGACATTGGCGTCTTCAGTTTCCAGCTGTATCGCTCACTTGGTCCGCTGGCCGTCACCGGCCTTTTTAGCACTTACTTCTTAACAGCCAGTATACTTCGGCGGCTGTCTCCACCATTTGGAAAACTCAAGGCAGTGGAGGGCCGCAAAGAGGGCGATTTCCGAAGTCTACATGCTCGACTTATTGCAAACGCCGAGGAGGTAGCCTTCTATGGTGGTGCCGACATGGAGAAGACCTTCCTCAACAAGGAGTTCAAGTCGCTCAAGAGCTGGATGGAAAGTATTTACATGCTCAAGATTCGATATAACATTCTGGAGGACTTCATTCTCAAGTACAGCTGGAGTGCATATGGATATTTGTTCGCGTCGCTCCCCGTCTTCCTGCCTGCATGGGGTGGCTTTGGTGGCGTGGCCGAGATGGCCGAATTGGCTGAGAGCAGTGGGAGGGAGCGCAACCGAATGAAGGAATTCATCACAAATAAGCGACTCATGCTTTCTTGTGCCGACGCTGGAGGTAGAATGATGTATTCCATCAAGGATCTGTCTGAGTTGGCAGGACACACCAGCCGGGTATACACCCTGATTTCCACCTTGCACCGCGTCCATGCAGACGCTTATAAGATAAGAGGGGGGAACTATGAGCTATACTCTCTCTCTGATGTTCAAGGGACTATCCAGAAAGGTTTCGACGGCGTTCGTCTGGAGCATGTGCCAGTAGTGGCGCCTGGCCTGTGGCCCCAAGGGGGTGAAGAACTATTGGATTCCCTCTCTCTGATAGTTCGAACTGGGGAGCACGTCCTGGTAAGTCTTCGATTCTACGAGATGGTCACATATGGTAGTTTCCTAACACAGTCAACAGATATCCGGGCCCAACGGCGTGGGTAAGAGTGCCATCGCCCGTATTCTAGCCGGCATGTGGCCTGTGTACCGAGGGCTAGTAAGCCGCCCCAAGGACATCGGACAAGATGGTATCATGTTCCTTCCCCAGCGTCCATATCTCAGCCCCGGAACCTTGCGAGATCAAGTCATCTACCCCGATGGCCACGTTGATATGCTTGAGAAGCGCAAGTCTGAGATCGACCTGAGACGAGTTTTGGATGAATCCCGACTCGGATATCTTCCCGAGCGCGAGGGTGGGTGGGATACGCGCAAGGAGTGGAAGGATGTCCTGAGTGGTGGTGAGAAGCAAAGAATGGGTTTTGCGCGACTTCTCTATCACGAGCCCAGATACGCCATCATCGATGAAGGCACCAGTGCCGTCTCGAGCGATGTTGAGGGGCTCCTGTACGAGACATGTAAGGAAAAGGGTATCAGTAAGTACTCACAGAGTGTTCAAGGTGTCGTTTTTTATCATTTTCTAACTATGATTTCGCAGCTTTGATTACTATTTCCACACGGGCCTCACTAAAGAAGTACCATACATATAACCTGATTCTTGGCGAGGGTGAGAGAGGAGATGAGTGGGAATTTGAGCGCATTGGAACTGAGAAAGAGAAGATGCACGTGGAGAAGGAGCTTCAAGACCTCCGAGAACGCCTATCGAAGGTTGATGAGTGGCGGGAGAGGAGAGAGGAGATTGAACAAGAGCTTGCTGCGGTGTGGACGGAAGAGGGGGGATCATTAAATGCGCCATCATACATCGAGGTAGACCAGGCTACACCGTCAAGCGAAAGTTAGGATAGAGTGTATCGTGATAGAATATTTGCGAATCATAGCAGAGTCGAATAGTTTGCTGCGCGGTCATGGCGAATCTGTGTTTCAGTGATATAGACGTAATTATAACGTGTGGCGAACGGAATCTCACCATTCTGTGCTCTGTTGGCTAACTCGGCAAGCGACTGGCATAAAACATGGCACACTAAAGCTCTTTTCATGTAAGTCAGGGACCTTATTTTGTTATTAATAATACTAATCATAAAAATAAGTTAATTACAAATTATTCTATAATATTTAGCTTAATATTGTGTTTATTACTAGGTAAATTATTTTAGTATTGTGTTGTAATTCAACGCTGGAGGTTCTGGGTGTGCCATATTTTATGTCAGTCGCCTGCTCGGTTGTACTATTGCATGAGCTAACTTAGCCAATGTGTGAGGAAGGATGTCACTACATAAGTTCATGTTGACTCAATAGATGGATTTGCATATGATGACGTGCATGATTCGCTCTGAGGTCCAGGCATGGGCGGTGAGGAGTTCCCATGATGGGATTTAGTCAAGGATCGACACAGCAGGCAATACACAAGAAAGGCCTAGACAAACGTTTAATAAAAACTAGTCCACGATAGAGGGTCATATAAAAGTCAATACGATGGCTTGGATGAGTATAGCCGGTATAGGGTAGTTACTCGGTAGGTGCTAGGTGAAGCTATCCACTGTGGCAATAGCCTCCACTCACTCTATTAATGGAGAGGAGCTATTAATATTTACAAGCCGTAGTTATAATTGACCGCCTCGGTACGACCTGATCTTGTAAGCGGAACAATTGAATGGCCGGGAATATCGATGGAAAATCGAGAGCTCCGACTCCCTGATCATCACCAAATATAGTATTTGCATTCCTGGAATGGAAGATAAAACGATGCCCGAACTCGTGTATTGCCCGGGGAGGGGGAGAAGGCTTCTAAGGGGCACTAGAGCCTGTATTTGAGAGGTATGCACTGTACCCTGGAATCAGTAGTGGGAGATTTCCCTTCCCCTCCATCTTTATACCTTTTCCGAAACGCGTTTTGGGCGGGATTACCGTAGCATTCCACAGCCCGCAGTCCGTGACTACCTCATCCCTTTGTATGAGCGGCCCATCGAGTCATTGTGATGCAGCCATTGTAGAAAGCGGCTATACCAGCCTCCCTCATACACCATGTGCATTTCTCGGGCCCAACGCGCGTTGTTCCATCCCGTCGCCTTGCGTTTAGCTCGTAATCTGGATTATCGAGAGCGGCAACTTCAGGCGCATGCAGCCAAGGTTCAGCTCCCACCCTCTAGTCAGCACATCATCGACACTCTCCGCCATTATCAGAATCGATAGTACGCACACCGTAGAGGTGCGACCAATCGAAGTGATCAGCCACCACAGACACACCGGCTTACCTGAAGCTGGACCGTTCAGCTCTAATAATGCATGCTGCCACCAGCCTTGCCATCCATCCAAGGCCTAGGACTACCTAGTGCCACGTAGGTCCCCATTGTCTCTGCATCGCGTTGGAACGATCAGGTCAATAATCGGTTAGCTTGGGCGCATTCCAGTCGTCCCTCCACACTCGATGATTACCCCTCTGTAGAGAGAGAGGTCAGCGACATGACCAGCCCTTGATGGGCAGGGCGCCATTTGTATGGCATGGCAGCAGAACTGACTTCCGGGAGATGGTAAGATATCCAATATGCTCCGGCTAGCTGAATGAAGTGAGACAGCCACCCTCCCAATGTCTTGCACTTTTCTCATCTCGGTGTCTCACCTACACCCTAACCTTCTGCTTGCGCATGCGGAGAAGCTCTCTTTGCGGTGTCCATTGGATTGAGCCCACCGCTTTTGTCCACGGCTATATGTAGAGACGGAGGGAACCTCTGTTCAGCTCCGTCACCGTCTCGCCATCGATTGATATCTGCCCATATAATTGCCTTTCAGCTGGATCATACTTCAGCAAATCTTCTGGGACGCTGCCTTTAACAGGATTCAGCAAAAGGCTGCTCATCTCGCGTCTTCCTACCCCGCCTTAACCAGAAACAGCCTCACCCAACCGAAGTGACGCCATGAGAGGGCGGTACGCCTGTCATAGCTACGGGGGTTCGTGGTCATCCATGGCCCCGATGCCTCCAATTGCAGAGGACGAGGTCGTTGGTAAGCCCATGGTGCTTCCACGAGGGCCGTTGCGGATACCTCAAAAGACTCGCCGTGGTCCGATGAACCGTCCGGCGCCTCCGCCGTATGTGCCGGCACCGCATCCTTCTCCTCCACTGTATAAGGAGGATACAATGTCAGACTCGTCTTCGACCTCGGGGTTTGCCTCGATCAAGCTAGAGAACTACAAGAAGTGGCAGGATGAGTCCGGCTCTGACGATGAGGGGGATGGTAGAGGCTCAAAGGATCGGCAATGGTTTGGAAGCCGCCTCGGAAGATGGCTCAAATTTGGATTCTTGGCCTTGATGGCAGTTGGGATCGTTGTTGGGCTGGCTGTTGGGCTGACATTCGGGTTGAGAGACAAGTATGACTTGAAACTTCCTCATCCTTAACAACCCGCCTCGAGTTGGTATGCTAACCGCATTCAAAAAGGCAATCGAGTGACGGCAGTAACGACACGGACTCATCCAATCTCTACCCAGTGGGATCTTACTCCTTTGAGTCTACTCTTCAGAACATTTCAACCGCCTGCACCTCTCGTTCATCCACTTGGCGCTGCTATCCCTACAGCCAAGGATCCAATGCAACCTTTTTCTGGTCCATCTCTCGCTCCGGGAGTTCCTACAACGTCTCCTCCTCCGAGAACCCCTTTGCACCCTCGTTCTCGAACAAGACTGCCACTCTTCTGGATCAGGGAAAGCCCACTGAGCGCCTTTCTTTCGCCTTTGACACGAGCCGCACCATTATCCCCAGCGAGCCCATCACACCCACCAACCGCGCCGCAAAATGCACCTACTCATCGACTTTGTTCCAGGCCACCATCTGGACAAGAAGGAGCGGCGGGCGTGAACTGTCCGGCATCGACGACCTGCTGAAGAGAAAGGCCGGGAGGAAGTTCGTGGCCTGGCCCGGCGACGTCCAGGTCTTCCAAATGAGGCCGTACAAGGCCGGCCCGCCTAACTGCGAGGACACTGATGGAAATAAGATCACCGATATCCAGGGAGGCTATGGCGACTGCTCATGCGAATACTCCAGCTTTTGAGCCAAACGACAAAAAGAAACCCAAAAAAAATTTAAATGAACAAACACTGCAACCAACATTCGATCATTCACAAGATACCCACAATACCCCAAAATATACACCCGTGACGGAAGGATAGCCTTCTGCTCACTGAGCTGGCATATAAGAAAATGAATTTCAATATACTCTGGCTGGCTCACAACGTTTTTGATCCCACTGCGTTTTACGGTGGGATTTGGATACCTCTGCTTTTCTGCAACTTCTGTTTGACTTGGGCGCAATTTCCTATGCTGGGAAATAATATTTCAAGGGATAATCCATAATTTCTGCATATTGATGTTATCACAAGGAGTTATAGGGCAGCACGAATATTACATTAATATGAATCTCAATGCATCTCCTACCTAGCATGATCCCGATGAGCACATCTAACGATGAAGTCAGCAGCAGCCTAGCGGTGTACTGTAGGCAAGATCAGATTTCAAGGCAAAGTGGCACAGTTGTGCCCTTTGGCAAGGCTTTCTAGGGGTGTTACATCGCGAAGGAGAATGCCTAACGACTAATAAATGCACATAAGCACTTTAGATTGACTAAGTCGACCATTGATTGGCAGCCAAGATATATAGGCGATGACAAGCCGCATGAAGAGTGGGTTTATTGATTATTTACCATCATTATTAGTGAGGTGTCGCCGTACTCCTCGGATCTCACTGTTCAATGACTGGTGGCATTTCGTTGGAGATGGCCAATTTGCTCGCATCTTCGTTGCAACCCCCCCGAGAATTCCAATTACGAAGCCTGCGTTACACTCAAACAGTCGCTCTCGTAGGTAATCGTGAGTTTTGCATCTAATCTTCTGCCTTATGCCTCGCTTCTTACATTGATCCTCTCCAGAAATAACATTCAACTTCAGAAACCTCTTCGAAAACTCCCACTTCAAAGATACTCAATATCCGAAAGATGCAGAGCATGAAGCTGAGGATACATACTTTCCGGTTGAGAATGGAGATGCACCCTCTCCTCTTACTTTCGTTCCCGTGGGCGGTATTACTCTGGGATCAATTTATTCCAAACTTTCTGAAAAGGGCCAATTCCGCCTCCTCGAAGTTCTCCCTGGAAAGCCCAGCATTATGCTAGAATGCCGGTTGCACGTGTGTTCTATTAGAAGGAACCACGACTCATATGAAGCACTCTCATATTGTTGGAAGGAAGAGAGAAACTCGGCCCACGATCCGCAGAGGTGTCATCATGTCCACCACCCTAAATACAATGCAACGGTGTCTTGATGGAAGTGGGCATCAACTTGCACCTGGCGCTACATCAGCTACGCTATGAGACCTCTTCACGCGTGGTATGGGCTGACGCAGTCTGTATCAATCAAAGTGATGTAGAGGAGAGAAGCGAGCAGGTCGCTCTCATGGGGGAAATCTTTCAAAAGGCGTATCAGGTAGTCGTGTGGCTTGGGTCGGAACCTGCCAGCCATACGAGAAATGCCGTTGGCGCTTCCGATGACAATGATGAAATATCATCTCAAGCTTTCGCCATGATCTGTTCAATCGTTGACACATGGGCAAGGGAAACATACCGTGTCGATATTGGACGCCCGCAGTATAGGAGACAAGGATCAACTCAAGACGCATACGACACCATACCGCTTGACAGGCCGCACTGGGAGAAACTGAAGCCCCTGTTCAGTAATTCCTGGTTTACAAGGATGTGGGTTGTTCAAGAGATTGCCCTGGCCAGGCGGGCCACAGCGGTATGGGCGAAAAGCGAAATCTCCTGGGAGCTAATCGGGCTCGCAGCCGCGATCATTCGCACCAACTGGAGATATATCGGGCCTTGGGGAGGACACGATGGAATCGGATCCCATCGAGTTCCCGTTGGGGTCATGAACGCTTACTTCATGTATCGGATCTCCAGCTTCCGGTCAAACTTGGACCCCCTTCGCTTCAGCTTCTGTGAACTCCTTGCTCTAACCAAACAGTTTGAATGTCAGGAGAAGCACGATAAAATATTTGCGCTCCTTGGGCTGAAGACTTCGGATTGGGCCAAATTATTCATCGTAGTTGATTACTCGAGGCCCCTAGATGATCTTTGGCGCAGTGTAGGTAGCCCTAGCGATACTTCGCTCGAGGCAGCCTTTGGCGATCCTAGCTTACGTTCATCACGAAGAAATCCCAGACACTCTCAGAAGTGATGGAGAAGACAGCTTCAATGATAAAAGAGATAATCCTTCGTCTACCGGAGAGTCAGTTTCGGTTATTACATCAAAGCGATCGTTGCTTGCCCTCTCCGGTGTCAGTGCTGGGGGGATTTCTTATAACACCAAGGACACTAACCTGGACAACGGCAAACATAATTCAAAGAAATTCGTCCTAGGCTACAAGCCAATTTCTTCTGTTACATCTCCGGAGTCTTGGGTCCCAAGATGGGATATCGATCAACCCCAGACCCTTGGACCGCTTGAGGGACATCCAAGCTTTGCGGCTGGGTTATATCGGCCAGTTTCGATACAAGACATAGAATGCACCAGTGAAGGCGGCCCATTGGTCGTCCGAGGGGTCGTATTGGGATACGTGAGATGCAAAGGCTCAATACCAATGATGCTGGAACAAAAAGATTCTAGAGAGCGACCCCCACAAACCGGTCTCACAAGAACCGGCCTGGAGAAGCTAGCATTGACATTATCTGCGGGTAAGAACTGGTATGGGACAGCAGCATCTACCCCGTCCCAGACGCTGGCCGATTTCGCCGAGTGCCTTCACCGTGGCTTCCTCTGGTGGGCACTTTCGCAAGATGCTTTTGGTCCTAGTGTAGAAGATGAGGGCCTCAAAAAAGCCAATTCCGATGTAGTTCATAAACTTGCCTCGAATGCTCCATCAGGAAATGAGGGAATCACACTCTATGAGTTGGAAGAGTTCTCCAAGGCTGGCGATGGAGACCGATTCCTGGATGCAACGATCGCGCCTTCCACTGGCAGGAGCCTTTTCACTACCAATACTGAAATGAGAGGGTTAGATCCAGCTTGCATGCAGCCTGGAGATAAAGTCTGCATTATCTTTGGGGCTTCTGTTCCTTTTAGTATTCGTGAATGTAAAGGGCACCAGGGATATTATCGTCTTATTAGCGAGTGTTATATTCATGATATCATGAGAGGGCAAGCTAAAATGGGCGGCCACGAGCATACTTGGATCAAGCTGGTGTAAATCTATTCTTTTCCTAGCTATATATATGCTTTACTGAAACAAGGAATAGTGCATGATAGTAGTACACTTCTTTAACAGACACATGCTTCTAGCATGTGGGAGATGTATCTTACACTGGCCCTTCTATTTTATTCTGCTGCCTACTTAAGCTTAAAAAGTGAGGCAAATGTACAACTGGTCCTATAGTATAGTGGTTAGTACGTTTGGTTTTGATCCACTACCTCTGGAACTTACTCCAAAAATCGCTAGTTCGAACCTGGCTAGGACCTTCTTTTTGTCTTTTTGTCGTTGCTCAATATGACCAAGATTTTCAGTCTTCCTTTTTGCCTATATTTATTGGCTACAACGGCAGTGGCTACTGATGTCCATACTGATGACACTAATTTTCTAGGTTGAAAATTTCTCTATCTAGAATGTCAGGAACACTGAGCCGCGATTCCGCGTCAGGATCCGGCAGAGTGGCATTTAGGCTAAATTGATCTGGGGCTTTTACGGGTCGTGGAGCCGCTCGGATTGCTAGGAGCAAACAGATTTGAAACAAACGAGCGACCATCGGACGAGTCACTTGCAGGTCGATGGCAGAGGGACATGAAATCTGGCATGTTGGGCGATGAGCGAATATTATAGGGCAGACCAGGTGCCCAAATCTCCTCCCCACGGCTACCAGGCCGTGTGATAGGCGCGTCTGACAGGGCTCGAGAAAATCGGGCAAAAGACGACACGAGGATGACTGGCAGCTTGCTCTCCATGGTAGGGCCAGTAACAGCCGCTTTGGGTGGGTTCGCATATTAAACGCACGAATGGGATCGCCTGAGCCGCCGGGAGCTATACCTCTCACCTTATCCAACAAATAGCCATGCCAATCAGGATGCGACGCCAGGCTGGTCGAGGTGGGCTCCTTGACGTACTACTTGCAGATAGTAGCTCCAGAAACACGATGGGCATGGAGTACATGCATCGACTACGGCCGCATCGGTCATGACATTGCATGACCTGTGGGAATCTGGTGGGATTCCATGCTCGATTCTCCGCTCCAGGAGAGGTATTAATCGTTGAGGACACACGTGTTGGAGCGCTCGTGGATCGTAAGAGCTCTCTCACATGCTATATAGCCTTGCTAGTCCATTTGGGTTTTGTTATAATAAACCCTCCATAGGCCCCTCTGCCCTCACTCTCCCGCTTCCTCCTCTCCTCTCGCCTCTCTCCTCTCATCCTCTTATCTGTCTCTCATACGTCTGTGACCCAAGGGAGCCTCAAGACCTTCCACCCTCTCCAGACCCTCACGATACACGCACGACTAAATACGCAATGGCGTCCCCTACCGTGAAGCTCAACAGCGGCCATGACATGCCCCTCTGTGGGTTTGGTCTGTGGAAGGTCTCCAACGACACTTGCGCCGACACCGTCTACAACGCCATCAAGGCCGGATACCGGCTGCTGGACGGCGCCTGCGGTATGTATAGCAATATTCCCCAAACAACACATGCGCTGCAAAAAACGCTGGTGAGCAGAGGAGCTTGGGAGGTTGGCTGTGCTGCCTTACACGCAAAACCCCACCAAATCGAACCCTGCATTTCAGTAGCTGCCCCTCCCCCACTACGACGCTACGCGCTTTCAAGCGACAGCCATTTCACATTCACCCGGGACAAGTAGTCCCGGCTAGTTTGAGCGCCAGGAAAGCTCCTGGAAGGAAATTCTGCGATCAAAAGGGCCGAGAGAGCTAACGGCTAAATCCAACCATCTAGACTACGGCAATGAGAAGGAGTGCGGCGACGGTGTCGCCCGCGCCATCAAGGACGGCCTGGTGAAGCGCGAGGAGCTCTTCATTGTCTCCAAGCTGTGGCAGACCTTCCACGACGTCGACCGGGTCGAGCCCATCACCCGCAGGCAGCTCGCCGACTGGCAGGTCGACTACTTCGACCTCTTCCTCATCCACTTCCCCGTCGCCCTCGAGTACGTTGACCCCAGCGTCCGCTACCCCCCCGGCTGGCACTACGACGGCGACAAGGAGATCCGGTGGTCCAAGACCACCAACCAGGAGACCTGGGGCGCCATGGAGGGCCTCGTGGAGAAGGGCCTCGCCCGCAGCATCGGCGTCTCCAACTACCAGGCCCAGACCCTCTACGACACCCTCAAGTACGCCAAGATCCGCCCCGCCACCCTCCAGATCGAGCTGCACCCCTACCTGCAGCAGGCCGAGCTCGTCAAGCTGGCCAAGCACGAGGGCATCGTCGTGACCGCCTACTCCTCCTTCGGCCCCACCGGGTTCATCGAGCTCGACATGGACAACGCCAAGACCGCCGCCCCCCTGATGGAGCACGATGCCATCAAGGCCATGGCCACCAAGCACAACAAGACCCCCGCCCAGATCCTGCTCCGATGGGCCACCCAGCAAGGTCTTGCCGTCATCCCCAAGACCGGGCGCCCTGCCGTCATGCTCCAGAACCTTGACTGCTTCAGCTTCGACCTCGATGAGGAGGACATCAAGCGCATTGCCAAGATGGAGCTGAACCTGAAGTTCAACAAGCCTACCAACGTGAGTCAAAAGACAAATACGCTGCAGCCCCTTGAAGCAGTCGCTAATAGATTTGCCATACAGTACTTCCCTGCAGACAACCTCTGGATCTTCGGTTAAGAAAGATCAATAGAGAAAAAGCTAGTTCGGTTAAGGGTCAAAGGAAGCATTCAAATATCACATACCATATAGCAAGTCAAATAAAAAAAAATCGCGTAAAAATCCGGACTGAGGGTATCACTTGACTTGTAAATTGATTTTCCATAAAATTCGGCTCGTTCACCTTTGCTATAGTAGAGGGGAGGGTTAGTCTAAACTTGTCGAAACAAACCTGGTCTCGACCCATGTAAGGTTGTATCTCTCCATTTCCCTTGAATAAACCACAGAACGCCATGCTCGTAAATGCGAAACCAGATAATCCGGAAGCCTCCGATTCTATACCCTTACGAAAGCTGTGTTTCAATGTCAGACCACGCCGATTGTTTTGAGGAAGGGGGAATTCGACTTACTAGCATCAATCTGCTTGACTTGGGGCAATGCCAGCCGCACCTTGTTTCGATACAGGGCAGGACCACGAAGCTGTAGCGGGTTGCCCTCGAAATAAACAGTATTGAGGTTTTCCTTATCCTTGAGCTCCTTTTCAACATCTCCGAAATCAGCGATGTGATTGTAACTGGCCCAAACCTCTTCCAGTTCCTTCAGGCCACCGAGACCCTTGAGACTGGAAACCTTGTTGTTCGAAATGTCCAGGACCCGAAGCTTCGAGTTCTCCTCAATGCCCTCCAGAGACTCCAGCATGTTATGGGAAATGTAAAGTTCCTCGAGAGTCGGTACGTCCTTAAGAGGTGATAGATTGCTGATGCGATTTGACTGGATGCTCAGCAATCGCAGATTTGGCAAGCCCCCCAGCCCGGTCAGCTCGGTGATTTTATTCTTGGCAAGCCATAATTCCTCGAGAGCCGTGAGGGCCGAAAGATTCTGGATTTCCCTGATCCGGTTGGAGCCCAGCTCCAGGTTTTTAATTTTCGTGAGACCCTCCAAGCCCTCGATTCTGCTGATTTTGTTTGCCACAAGGAACAGATCCTTGAGTTCCGTCATGTGGCCGATGTTCTTGATGTGCTTGATCTTGTTGAAGCTAAGATCTAGGTTCGTGAGCTTGGAAAGTCCGTCGAGTCCACGCATATGAGAAATGAGGTTGTCATAAAGATCTAGATCCTCGAGGGTAGGACCCAAGCTTTGTAACCCATCTAGCTCCTGGATGCTATTTTGTCGAAGGCAGATCCGGGCCACGTTTTTGAAGCGCTCAAGTCGGAGGGACGCTATCGAGCGAATACGAGAGTGGGTGCACATGATTTCGTCCGTCTCTGGATCTTCGCCGTCCAGGAGATCTATCAAGAAGATTTTGTGTTAGCAGGCCAAAAGCTGAGTATGTGTAATCTAAGAAAAGGAAGCATCTTACCCTCATCGGCTGCAATCTCTTCTCCTTCCATCACATTCTCATCATCCGAGTACTCTGGGTCGGATAAGGCTTCTGGGTTCGACAAGAGAGCTGATTTCGGAACACGAAGCTTCCCATCCCAGCCTTTGCTATTCGTGATGCGCGGGCTAGTCTCGCCTTCGTCTCTCGTGACGTTGTGATCTGCCGGCACATCGATATGGGCGTGGCCATCGGTGGCTTTACTCTCGGAGCTAGTCATCGTTGCAAGAGCTTGGGTGACGCCACAGGTTCGATGTCAAGATGCTATGCTCTGGTGCGTAGCCTTGGAAGGGACAGAGGGAACGGAGAAGTCTGTGTAAGAACGTGTCACGGAAGTGCAATGTAGAAGGCAAAAAACATTCTTGTCGGCTCGATAGGTGGGGGAAGTTTATAGGCAACCGTTCGACTAATTGCTTCGTCAGGGTCACTAATGCGGAGGGGTCCGGCCACTGGAACCCTGTCGGACTCGGACCAACCCATTGTGCCTGGCAATACGTACATTGAATGCGCCTAGTCTGTCATTGTCGGGAATACCAGCGCTTCAGGGACAATGCATCTCATTTTATTCAGGATTATTGAAGAATGTCGACTCTAAAGTTTCTACTATTGTCACAGTACTATGCCACATCAAAGCCCTTCAACTCATCCTTTCACGCCCACGTTCTCACAAATTTGAGGGAGTGACATCAGGTCCAGGGGCCCCCACTCCTGCCAAATACCGCTTTTGGGTAGAAGCTGAATGTGTTGTCCAGCGCTACTGCAACCTTCTGACATCAACACACCTTACCCTAAACAAACCCCAACTCTCTCACATGCCTTCTCCCTCGACCTCATGAGTGCAGTCTGCGGCCTAGTCAGAGGCGACTATGTCATGGCATTGCTGTTTGCCAAGTAACCCACAGAATTACCTATCCTCCATACTGTGGGGCACCATATTAAGTTGCCGAGATCGATGTAATGCCCAAGAGTCGTCACAATGGTTGCGCCACCACTGTTTAGACATTTACCTCTCAGCCGACGATATCGGCCAAAGTCAATACAGGTTCGCCGACAATGGCTGCTAACCAACCCCCAGAAGCCACAATTGGCCAGACAGCTACACAGCATGCAATGGGCTGCACCGCCGCTCATTCTCACAGGACTTTTTCTGGCCTTGTGGAGTTGGAAATGTATGATGATGGTCTTGTTTCAAAACACCATCATATACAATCCGTTCATGCCGCCGAATGCAAGGAGCATGAAGATTGAAGACTTTAAAAAGCAATGCCGAGGGACGCAATGGAGAGAGGAGCGAATACGCTCATTGGATGGCACTGAGATAGCGTTATGCATAACTGATGACCCCGCGCCTGCTGCTGGAGTTGACCCAAAGACACCCGTCTACATTCTTTATTTTCAAGGTTGGATACTCTACTTAGCCATTGGAGAGATGAGAGAAACTATGTCTAATATACTGAGATTGTAGGGAATGCTTCGTCACTTCCTCCTCGACTTCCGGACTTATCATGGGTCATTCGAACCCTTCGTGAAGGAAGTAAGACTGTGAGTTACACAATGGTGTGTTTGAGTTATCGCGGGTACTGGACCTCGCACGACCGGCCCTCGGAGACTGGCATAAACAAGGACGCTGAGGCCGCTTTGCGTTGGATATCGTCATTGCATCACAGGCGAGACCCGGAAAAGCAAATGCCCGACCCTGTCACAATTCTATATGGGCAAAGCGTTGGGTGTGGCTTTGCAACGAATCTGGCCGCAACTACCGAGACCATGCTAATTCACGGCCTGGTGCTTGAGACGCCGTTCGAGTCCACCCGTGCCATGCTGAAAGCGCTGTATCCGCAAAAATGGCTTCCTTATCAACATTTGTGGCCTTTTTTGCGAAATCATCTTGACACCTGGACAAACATGGGACTTATCGCCTCGCGTTCCCCACCGCCTGGTTTTAGTGTTTCCATTGTTGAAGCTGCCAAGGATGAACTGGTACCTTCGGAGCATGGTGATCGCCTCTACAAACGGTGTCAAGATGTTGGCATTCCGGTTGAGCGGCAGAAGGTGCGTGGTGCCTATCACAATGATGCCATCGTCCGCATGCAAGGCAAAACCACAGTTGTTCACTCCATCGCCTCAGCCGTTGCAAGGGTTGCCCAAAATGGTCCGCGGAATGGCGGCATTGTCACTAAATGACCAACTACGGTATTAATAAGGACCACATAATTAGCAAACAGTGTCATACCCACCCAACGCCAATGCATGTCTATCGTCCCGGGATGGTGGCACTCTTTCCCCGAGGGCGTGGCCCAAGGTACTTGCGCACCCCAGAATATCTACACTGTGGGCAGCCGGGTCCAAATCCTACGGCGCTGCTATCAAAAGCAAGCTGATTACCACGGTGGGTTTTCAGCCTGGGCAGCCTTGCCGGTTAGTGGCCATTCAGGGCCACCTTTTCGTTGTGATACAGAGTAGGCTGGGAGGCTATCAAATGTCCCCACCCCGGAGCGTGCATCTGCGTGAAGAGCGACACCTGAAGGGATTTGCTGGACGGCGAACCACAGGGGTGGGACAATGATACGGGCGAATGTCATTCTGGAGATGGCGAAGATCCGAATCTGGGATTTGATCCGCCATTCGTGAAAAAGTTCCTTCAGCTTGACAATCAGAAGTGCCGGTGTGTGCCATGTTCATGCATGTATCGCCTATCTGAACTCAACTTGAAGGCAGCTTGTAATACCAGAAGGTGTTATTGCCCGGCTGTGCTGATATGGCTCAAAGCGGCGACTCATAGGCCTCCCCTTTTCTCGCCGGACCAATCCCTGGGGGTTGCCTTGCAGGCTTCCTTTGGGCAACGCAGCGAGGTATGACTCGAAAGCCTTGCTGGCACCCGTTGACTCAGGCAATGCCTGCTGGGAGTACAGTGCAATTCACGGTGCACGGGGCGTTTTACAGGGGCTGAAATGATAGAATGGATTGCACGTGATATCGTGTCAGGTAGGCGACACTAGGATGTGGGTCCACAGGCACTTTACGCGGCCTAGGCGCGTCTCAGCGACCAACTATCACCACATTCACTTTAGGTGCACTGGACGGCTTATTTCGCAGGGGGCTACAGGGGCAAGAGTGTCGGAAATCATGGCTGCATGGAGCTTTGGCCGCCGCGACAGTATAAATATCCGGCTGCCTCGCCCTCCTGCGCAGTTTTCTCGCTCTGGTTCTTCTTGATTCATGTAGGCAGCAAGGTAAGTCTCGCCGGACGAAGAAAAAAAAATCGCAACGGCGCAATTTTAGCTGCATCCCAATTGAAAAATCTCCTTTCTCTGTCTTTTGTCGCATTATCTTTGATACCCCAATCCGCCAAATTTGCTTTTCTTTTTACCTCTCCAAACGCATACCCAATCCCACCCGCCATCCATTCATCATGTTCTCCAGCAGTCGACGAGAGTCAGTGAGCAGGAGCTTCTCCAAAGGCCACAAATCAAGCAAGGTGAACAAGTCTAGTTCATCGTTCAGTAAGGATAGCGGCGTTTCGAAGCGACGCCATGAGTCCCGTCAACGTAGACCTACGACGGCTTCTACTTCAGCCACCGAAGACACTATCATGAGCAAGTGAGTTGATTTCATCTTTATCCTCCATCGTATCTATCAACAACTACTAACAATTTTTTTTTGCAGTGGTTCCTCTTCGTCTATCGTCACTCTTGTCGTTGGAGCCGAGCAACGTCTTTTCGCCGCCCACGAAGACATCCTTTGCGCAAGCCCATACTTCGCCACCGCGCTTCGAAACGGATACATGGATCCGGCGACGAAGAGAATCGCACTGCCTGAGGAGGAGCCGGAGATCTTTAGCTCGGTCCTCGAGTATCTATACAAGGGCGATTACTTCCCTCGCCTCGTCAAGCGCAGAAACTCTTATGAGCTGGAGTCTGATGATGATCGCCGGGCTGTGGAAAGCACCATCTATCTTCACGGTATCGACGGCGACCTTCTCAAAGATACTGTCATCTATTGTACGGCTGAGAAGTACGGACTGAGTGAGCTGAAGAAGCTGGCTCTTCGGAAGCAAGGTCTCCGTGAGTATTTCATAATCTCATTGCCACATCTACGTTTGTTTCTAACACCGCAACAGAGTCCGGAATACAGTGCAGCACTATTCTTGCCTCGGCCAGATATGCATACGCAAACACTCCCGACAATGACTCTAAACTTAGGGCTCACTATCTCGCACTCATCATCCGCTCGCGCAGCACTTTCAAGCGCAGTGGCACGATGCAACTTGAGATGTACAACGGCGGAAGTCAACTGTTCTTTGATCTATTTGTGGCTTTGAGCAACCATGTCGACGACATCTCCTCCTCTTCGTATGTATCGCCTCATGCACTCATATGGCATGCATCGACTGACCTTTGACAAAGCACCCCTCGCTCTAACCGTCATTCTTAACAATCGCCGAGTCCCGGCTTGTTATGATGATGTGATTTAATACCTGCCCGGTTTCCTATTCGAGCTTTTACACACCCAAAAAAGCACAAAAAGATTCACGGTCATTAACGGCGTTGATGAAGAACTGTATTTTTTTCTGTCACTTTTACTTGCTTTTTCCTTTCTTTCGATTTTCTTCTTCTTCTTTTCTTTTCTGACTATACTACCATCCATGTATAAGTATTTGGTGAGGCGAATGGGGTTTTTCTGTTTTCTGGCGCACGGGTTTGGTGCTCTTGACTTTCAAAGCAATTCTTCTGGGCGCCATGAATAATTTGGCAAATGGGCCCCAGAAATCATGACGAAGAGTGGGAGAGACTGCTACTGACGGAAATAGACATACGGAAACACTGCTTTATTCTAATTTAAAAATCATCTTCTTTGCATTATGGCTGTCTTTGATTCTCTGGAGCAGTTCCCCATAGGCGGATTCCGGAAAATGAGTAGCGTGCAAGGATATCGGGCTGGGACGACCGTGAAAAGTGACATGACCCCATACTCGGTGCCTCTGCAAACCATATCGGCCTTGCCAAGACAGGGCGGACACTGGGACCCCTGGTTTGGCGTGAAACTGCGGTCGATTTTGAGCCGGGTGTTTCTTGCATCGGGAGGCGAAGAGGGGGGGGGGAGGCCTGAGCGGGCTGATAACCACCTCAGGCATCCTGAGAGCGTGAATCCCACCTTGGCAAACTGGGACTTACGTGAACGATAAATTAATGCATGCCCCCTTAAAAGCCGACCCTAAGTTTGGGAAAACACTGCATCCGTACCCGATATCACGCCTTGTCCCCTATGATGATGTATACCGAGTTGCTTGAATCACCGGCTCGGCATCAGACAGTGAGGGATCGGAACTCCATTGCCACACTGGGAGACGGATGGGAAAAAGTAATCATTTCAGCTATGGGAACGCACGGGCAGCATCGAGCTGAGCAAGTCTTGATGTGATACAACTTCGCCTGCCGCTATCTTCACGCCCTGGTGCCCAACCAACTGCAATTCCATCACACCGATGTGACTCTCATAGTTTGTGATCCCCCCATTTCTGAGATAATCCATTAAAGCGGCCGCCGAGGAAGTTCCAATCACGGGAAGTTTCGGGCTCGTGCATATTTGCGACCAGGTCATACTCCAGTGCCGGGAAAGGCACCCTTTTTTGATAATACGATGATCCCTCGTTCCCGCGCGATATAGCCTTTCATAAGATCCTAAAAAATAAGGTGCACAATATTAGTCACATGTTCCCCAATAAAATATAATATAAATAAAATCAGTCATAGAATAGTCATAGGATGCGCCAACGGAAGACGTAAGGCAGGTTGTTGCCTCTTCCTGTCTGCAATCCAGTGGTAGGTTGCAGCAGGCGGGAGGCCACGAATCCCACGATTGCCTTGATGATAACACAACACCCTCTTATGACGTGGCATCCGCACCCGCATCGCAGGTTCATCTTACCTTATAGATCATGTTGGCCAGCAAACACTCGACCTCATCGGGGTCGACCGTCTCGCCGCCGCTACCCATGCTAATGGCAGTTTGGAACTCGGCTAGAGGCACACGGGTGCGCCTCACTGGTGCTGCATTTCCCTCTTTGGGCTCTTCGAACCCTCCATTAACAAAGACCTTGCGCAGGAGGTTGCGCAAAGCAATGTCACGCCCGCGCTCCAACGTCAAGTATATGCGCCTTTTGACAAACTCGTCTTCCCCTTTCTGAAGCGCTAGGTCAAAGGACCGTAAATCTCCTCGTCTTATGCATTGCGCGATAGGTAAGAATAGCTCTTGCAGCCGGGGATATGGTTCGAGAAGCTTTTTAGTTGGCAGGACGTGACTCGTTAGCAGCCGACAAGGGATCAGATATATCAAGATTCGCCTATAGCAGTCAGCCGTCAAGTCCTTCCTAGAAGAGTATGGCTATTGAATCCTGAGAATCAATGACTCACTCGATATTGGTCTTAGAACTTCGAGGGCAAAGAAGCCAGGCCTCTGTGAGATGCTTATTGGCCTACCAATGACTAATTAGCATGATTTGGTAGCACATCGGTAGCAGGGCCTGGTGACCACAAACCTCGACATAGTTCTCTTCCAAGAAGAACAACACACCCTCGTAGTATTTAAAAGTAACCCGCTGGGATTTTGGGAATGACTCCAATGGAGGCATGTCACCCCGGTCATTGAACGCTTTGAGACTGGTGAGGATTGTGCGAGAGAGAGAGGCTGAATTAAGCTTGAAATATGTCTTGAAGAGTAAGTTGATCACGAAATAAATGCCCCATTTTCTTGATTCTTCTAAGGGTGCCCTATAGGAAACGCGTCAGTCTCATGGGCATGTATGTTGTGGGAGAGTACTCACCTGTCGGTCAAACACAGTGTGAAAATTCGTTTTAGATGCTGCTCGCAGTCCCTAAGCTGACTTTGTTTGTCGGCATCGGCATCGAAATCATCCTGTATGATGGTTGTACCAGCTTGAGGGCGGCCCGAATTCCGACTGCGCTCTTCGTCTGATTTAATAGCAAAGAGCCTGAGATATTTACCAACCATATAAAGGCTCGGTATTGTCCAAGCTTGAAATCCATGGTTATTGTACCCCCGAATGAGCATGGAAGTCAAGTCCTTCCAAGCGTCATAGACCTTGGTCCAAGAAGACTTTTGGAAGTGTCAGCTGTGTGTTGTTGGAGAGGCAGGGGAGGCTGAGAGCTCACCTTGCCACTTTCGCCAGCCAAAATCTCGCCAATAGCCTTCCAGTAGGCCGTGTACACCTCAACCCAGCCATTCAACTCGGTATTATCCAAGCTACTCTGATAAGATGCGCTTGCACTTTTCTTAATAAAGTGCTTGATAGTCCCTTGAACACTTTGGTGGTTGGCACTCTGCCAGACGGAGCTCAGCATATGGGGTTGGTTGGCAGGTGGCACAGGTGACAGTGTTTGGGCGATCATGTAGCCATTGTGAGCTGCATGAGCTTTGGCAAAAGTATCAAAGAGCTCATTCATGATTTACGAACTGGAGGGGAAGATTGGGAACGGGATGGAATGGGCATGGAACGGGGATAGACGTGAAGTGAACGCGATCTTGAACTCCAGAATATGTAGGAAATGGATTGGATCCTAGATGTTTGCTGATAAAAGGGCGGGGTGAGCCGATGCCTTTCTAGGTCCTCTGCAAGCTCTAAGCTGTCGTTGATTCTGCGGTTAGTAAGAGGCCAAAGGCGTTTTGAATCTTACAGTCGCTTCATTCTTTGAAATCTAAGACACAAGCTTCAAGTACCGACTTGCTTTGATGGAGCTCACCTACTAGACAAAAGGGTACGTACCTCCAGTGTTGTCCTTGGCGTACCTTAGGGCCAACGCTGATTGGCCTGCAAATTTTGGGCACGAGCGGCCCCACAATGAAGAAAATGGAATTTGGGCTCGCAGCTCAGGAGTGTATCGCACGTGACTGGAAGAGTAGTGGATCTAGGTCGGAGCCAATCATTGGCGGGACTGAAGCCCTGCAGCCCACCACTTGGCTAGCCCTCTCCATCATCGCACACAAAAATTTCCCTACGAATCTTCCAACTTCGGACATCAACAACTAACCAGCAGTTGACGACATAATCCGCCGTTAAAGTAAGTAGCGATCAAGGTCTTGATATTAATCAATCGAATACTAACGAATATCTCAGATGGGTAAGTTCTATCTGTTTTCTCACAGCTCATTCCTGGAATATCCCGTTCGCGACCCCGACCACGACGACGCAATTGCAAATTTATTCCAGCATGGATTCACTCTTGAGGCCAATCCCATTGTTGGAGACGGCTCTGTATCGAAGGGGGGGACGGAGAAAATTCAACCCGACAACAACTTCGATTCAGCATTCGATTTGAACCGCCTCAACCACAATTTCCACCCTGCGATATCTGGCCCCTCTGTCGACACACCCCTCTGCTATGAATTCTACTCGGGATTGGACACCAAACGAGCGAGAATGTACTGGTGCTAACAGGCTGTTTCTCAGGTCGTCTCCAGGAATACGAGGTCATTGGGCGCCATCTGCCCACAGAGGCTAACCCCTCTCCTTCTCTGTACCGCATGACCATCTTCGCTCCCAACGAGACGGTCGCCAAGTCCCGTTTCTGGTACTTCTTGCGCGGTCTCAAGAAGGTCAAGAAGGCCACCGGTGAGGTCGTCAGCGTCAAGGCTGTACGTAGTCTTCAAGAATTGTTTGTCCTCTACTGGCCTAGCCTCTGTGCTCACACTTGTCAAATTAGGTCCACGAGAAGCACCCCCAGAAGGTCAAGAACTTCGGCATCTGGATCCGCTACGACTCTCGCTCCGGCACTCACAACATGTACAAGGAGTACCGTGAGGTCTCCCGCACTGATGCCGTCGAGTCCCTCTACTCCGACATGGCCGCTCGCCACCGTGCCCGCTTCAGGTCCATCCACGTACGTCAAACCAGTCAAAGCGGGCCAATGATTCTCAGCCAAGGCCGACGAATTGAATCAACATTGAACAAAAATACTGACAGGTGACATCTAGATTCTCCGCGTCGTCGAGATCGAGAAGACCGAGGACGTCAAGCGTCCCTACATCCGCCAGCTGATCACCAAGGATCTCAAGTTCCCTCTCCCCCACCGCGTCTCCCAGGCCAGCGGCAAGAAGGTCTTCAGCGCAAAGCGACCTTCCACTTTCGCTTAGATTTTTTTCGGGTACTGAGCAGGGTAGGGCTGGCTTTGCGGGTGTTAACTACGGATTACGGAAATATCAACTGCATTGGCCTGGTAACATGGGCTACGAATGAAAAACCAAAAACTTTTTTAGCAGCAAGTGATTGTTCTCTTCGCACATGTGACGGGATGTACCGTATCA